CTGTGTGTGGATTTTGTATGCTTGCGTGAATGGTGCTGTGGGTGGATCTTGTATGCTTGCGTGAATCGTGCTGTGTGTGGATTTTGTATGCTTGCGTGAATGGTGCTGTGGGTGGATCTTGTAAGTTTGCGTGAATCGTGCTGTGTGTGGATTTTGTATGCTTGCATGAATTGTGCTGTGTGTGTGGATCTTGTATGCTTGCTTGAATCGAAATGTTTGTGTGGAGCTTGTATGCTTGTATGAATGGTGCTGTGTGTGTGTGTGTGTGGATCTTATATGCTTGCGTGATTTGTGCTGTGTGGATTTTTCTTGTGCATGTATGAATCACATATGCATATTTGTGAAAACCGAGACCAATCTAACTCCATCATTTCCCACTTGAAATGAGACTACTGCTTTTCTCATTTTAAATGTTTATCATCTTCTCACCTGATCAATTCAAGAAAACTCCACTTCTTTTAAGAAAAGTTAACTCAGATTTGAATGTTTTGCTGTTTTCTTTTTCTCATAACTTTGCAAACATCTGTCATGTTGGGGTGTCATGTGAAGAATTTAGAGCTTAACATTGAGGTGTGTGAATACTTTCCTGATAGACTAGAGTTTATTTTTTCCTGGTTTATATTTTGCTCAGTCCTTGTTCAACAATTATCCAGTTCAGGGTGTTTAAACATGTGAAAAAAGCGAACTGACAGAAGATCTAAGAAACGCGTGTTGGTATGAAGAGCAAAGGGACTAGGAGCCTGTCGTCTCACAGGGACACTTGCTCATCTGGGAGTGTGTGGGCAGCTGACCCCCGCAGCAGCCTTACATAACATCCTGTCTGAATGCTGCACATTCAGGGAGGCAATCAGGCAGCCTGGCAACAGCAACACAAGCTCCTCCTGCACCCCCCCCCCCTACACATACACATCAACTAACCAGGAGACACGTCCCAAACAGGGAGCTGTCCCAGATGTGAACAATAGCAGAAGGTCTAACTGGACCTACTGAGGTCCTGGTGAGGTAACGTGGAAACCTCCACCTTCACCCTGGTTATATATCTATTTATAGTCCATGAAGTGAAATATTTAAATAAACCTTTATGAAATGCAGAGACAACTGTAGTCGGTAGATGCCAGCTGAGTGTTTATGGTTCTGGTGGCGTCCTTCAGCCTCTTTGCTCTGTCTGTTTCCCACAGACTGTTTCATCTGAGAAGAAGGACACCGATGAACAAGACTTGAAAGAGACTGAAAATCACAACTCTGTCACCATGGAAACAGACATACCATCAACGCTGGAGATGGACTGTGAAATGGAGGGAGCCAAGCATGAAATGGATTTTAGTGCTTGTGATAAGCTAGCTGGGTTACAGGCGGACGTCTCAGACTCTCAGGAAGTTAAGGAACAATTAAGTCCAAGCAGCACCAGGCAGGTCGATGACAGCCCCTTCTCTGAAACCAGACCAGGCACCTGTGAAGATGAGAAAAAGACCGAAGAGCTCAACAGGAATGAGTCCCTGAACTCATCTGTGTCTGATACCCTTTCCAGTGCTGACAGTGTTTATGAGAATGAGGCCCACCGTAGGAGGCAAGACACACAAGAGAAAGACACTGAGCAGGAGAATGAGTCAGAGCAACATGTGGGGCACGAAGGAGTGCCAGAGCCTGAGCGATATCCAGAGCCAGAGGAAGACTGGGGGGTGGGAGATGTGTTGCACAAAGAAGCCGAACCAGAGAGTGAGGAAGACTGTGGGGTGGGGGACGTGTTGCAGAGAGAAGCTGAACCAGATCCAGAGGAAGACTGGGGAGTGGGGGACATGTTCCAGAGAAAAGCTGAACCAGAGACTGAGGAAGACTGTGGGGTGGGGGACGTGTTGCAGAGAGAAGTTGAACCAGAGACTGAGGAAGACTGTGGGATGGGGGACGTGTTGCAGAGAGAAGCTGATCCAGAGACTGAGGAAGACTGTGGGGTGAGGGACATGCTGCAGAAAGATGCTGAACCGGAGCCTGAGGAAGACTGGGGGGTGGGGGACATGTTGCAAAGACAAGCTGAACCAGAGACTGAGGAAGAAACTGAGAGGCTAATTAACCCTGAGCTTCACCAAGACCTTCCACTTGAAGGTGACCCTGAGGATCAGGATCCTCAACTGGAGCTGTACGGAGAACTCGGACCAGAGGGAGGAGATATTATTGATTTAGATGATGAGTCCTACACACATCTAGCCGAATATACAGATGAAGGTCCAGATGTTGATGAAATACTGTTTGACCAGCCTTTTCATGAGGAGTCTCCCTTAGAGCAGTGCATAAGAGAGGAGGCCATGTCAGATGTTTCCAATGAGTCCTACCATAACCCGGAAGACATCGATGAATGTTTGAGAGTGGAGATTGCGGCGGCTTCATCAGATAGTGATACAGATGAAAAGTGGAGAGCTATTTTCTCCTCCTCCATAAATAAAGAAGACGATGACTCATATTTGGATAGTCTGCAGCTGAGTGCCCAGGAACTTTTTGTCCAGAAAATTGACGAGACAGACTACAATGACCCAGAGAGGACCAACTTTGAAGAGGCAATTAGTATTGAGGTCCCAAAAGTGTCTGAAGTCTTGGAACAACCGGGGATTGTAACCTGCTCCCCGACACCCCCGCATGAGGTTAAATACAGCCCGTTCAGCCTTCAAGGTTTGTCAAAAATATCGGAAGACGAGAGCGAAAGTTACAGAGATGTCAACCATAACCACTCGAAATCCCAAGACGACGGCAGTGTGGACGCAGTCAAGAGGCTGCCCAAAGACTTCTGTGTCATTCAGGAGACAAAGAGTGAAAACGTCAGTACAGAACATGTGGACTTCCAGCTTGCTCGCAAGCAGTGGCGAGAAATGGAGAAGCAAATGAAAAATAAGATTGTCATACCTTCGAGCAGGCAGTCAAACCTTCACAGCAGCCACAGCTTCATGTACACCCCTGTCCGACACATTGAAAGAACCCCTAAGAAGGCACGGGATCTGGAGAGTTTGAACCTGGTCACGGATTATTCCCACACACAATTCAGCCCTTGCTCAGAGGACTCTGGCCTGGATGATTCCAGCTATAGGTCCCCTTATGATGACGCCGAAACACCAATCGAAAGGGAGATTCGTATATCCATGGAGAGGGAAGAAAACTTAAAAAGGGAAAGGGGACTATCCAGAATGGGCAAATCAACTGACTGCGCTCCATCAAGAAGCATCCCTCGATCCATTAGTACTCCCCTCACTCCGTCATTCATCATCACCTCATCACCAACTAATGAACCATCAAAGCAGGAAGTGTCTGCAAACAATGTTATAATCGTAGACCCAAGAAAAGACTTGGCATCCAGCCTAACGTTTGGCAAAGACAACGCCCCCTCTGGATCTGGAGAATGGTGCCCAGACGAAAACAGCTCCAATCTGATCATCCTGGAAACATCCAATCTGATCATTCGAAGTGCCTCTGACTTCTCCCTGAACAAAGGCTGTGACGAGCCCCAGGAAAAAATGTTCCTCAACAACCCCTTCTTCAAACTCCGTTCAAGAAGCACAATATCCTTGGTAGATGAAGAGATACGGTTGGTGAAGCAGAGGGAGGAAGAGCTCAGGAAGGAGAGGGCAACCCTATATGGGAAAGACATGTTTGGCACGGAAACTGGCCTGGCAAATCACATGGACACTTTGTCATTTGATACCTCAGGTATGTCAATAAGATTCTCCACACGTCACATCGTCTGTAACGTTTCACTTCCTCTTTCCTGAATCATTTGTTTGATCTGATTTTTAGGTACTGTACCCATTAAGTGCAAGTCCTCTCCATCATCCCCGATGAAAACCCCCCACAGGATGGATCGCTCTGCCTTATCCTGTGACCACAGGGTAAGTTTGTCTCTAAGCGATTGCTGTTGACATCCCATCCAACACAACAAACTGGTTTGGTCCCATGAGTGTTGACCTAGTGGTTAGAGCAGTTAGCTGTGCTCTGAGAAGGTTGCAAGTACCCGGTTCAATCCCGACAGCCTCCACTCTGGATTCCAAAGCGAGAACCTCAACCCCACACTGCTCCCAAGGTGCCATACAATGGCAGCCCACTGCTCCCCAAGGGAATGGGTTAAATGCAGAGTGATTGTGGGAAAATAAAGGGATTCACACGATTGAAACCATCCCTCTTCTCTCTCATTTAGCAACACTTATATGCAGAGAAAGCCTGGAAATACATTGTAGCTTCAGTCTTTGTCATCTCTGTCTGTTTGCTGTTAGAGGAACAGTTGTGGCATAATCCAGAATTACAGTAGGATTAAAATCCCTGACTGCTGCCGCTGTCAAAGAGCTATAAGCAGATAGACTAGATACATTACAGGGATATACGTACAGGTCCTTCTCAAAAATATTAGCAAATTGTGATAAAGTTAACTATCCTCCATAATGTAATGATAAAACTTGAACATTCATATATTTTATATTAGACTGAAATATTTCAGGTCTTTTATTGTCTTCATACGGATGATTTTGGCAGACAGCTCATGAAAACCCAAAATTCCTATCTCACAAAATTTGCATATTTCATCCGACCAATAAAAGAAAGGTGTTATTAATACAAAAAAGTCAACCTTTCAATAATTCTGTACAGTTATGCACTCAATACTTGGTGGGGAATCCTTTAGCAGAGATGACTGCTTCAATGCGGCGTGGCATGGAGGCAATCAGCCTGTGTCTCTGCTGAGGTGTCATGGAGGCCCACGATGCTTCCATAGCGTTTAGCCTTTAGCTCATCCACAGTGTTGGGTCTTGTGTCTCTCAAATTTCTCTTCACAATATCCCACAGATTCTCTATGGGGTTCAGGTCAGGAGAGTTGGCAGGCCAATTGAGCCTAGTGATACCAGTAAACCATTTACCAGTGGCTTTGGCTCTGTGAGCAGGTGCCAGGTCGTCTTCATCTCCATAAAGCTTTTCAGCAGATGGGAGCATGAAGTGCTCCAGACTCTCCTGATAGCTGCATTGACCCTGGCCTTGATAAAACCCAACTTCAGCAGCTGACATGTGTTGTGGGAAAAGAATATTCCACTATTCACCCTAGTTAAATAAACGGAGTTCAATGGATTTCACTCAGTCGGCACATTTATTCATATCTTTGCAAAGAGAGAACAGTTCATCATACAGCCCTCCTGGCATAGTATTCAGCCCTGTTCTGCCTGGGCAGCGTTCTTTCCTCCTTACTTACAACAATGGAAAAGTAGTCAGAGTCAAAACAAATTACAGACACTTTGGTGAAACTGTAACATGTTATGAATAAACCTTGAGAAAGAATCTGGTTTGTTATGGGAATACGCTATTTCTGGTCTGCAAACACCATCCAACTGAGAATTGTTTGGCCTTCAGAGAGAAACAGACTGAGTGAAAACTTTTATAGTGAGTAAATAGGATGAATTAATATATAATAGAGAAATCTAAATTTTCCGACAACACATGGCACCCCAGACCATCACTGGCTGTGGGCACTTGACACTGGACTTGTGGCATTTTCTTCTCCCCAGTCTTCCTCCAGACTCTGGCACCTTGATTTCCAAATGACGTGTAAAACTGAGCAACAGTCCAGAGCTGCTTCTCTGTAGCCCAGGTCAGGCTCCTCTGCTGCTGTCTCTGGTTCAAAAGTGGCTGACCTGGGGAATGTGGCACCTGTAGCCCATTTCCTGCGCATGCCTGTGCTCTGTGGCTCTGGTTGTTTCTACTCCAGACTCAGTCCACTGCTTCCACAGGTCCCCCAAGGTCTGGAATGGGCCCTTCTCCACAATCTTCCTCAGGGTCTGGTCACCTCTTCTGGTTTTGCAGCGGTTTCTGCCTCTTTTTCCTTCCCACTGAGGTGCCTTGATACAGCAGCACTCTGGGAACAGCCTATTGGTTCAGAAATATCTTTCTGTGTCATAGCCTCCAGCTTCAGGGGGTCAATGACGGCCTTCTGGACAGCAGGCAGGTCGGCAGTCTGACCCATCATTGGGGTCTGAGTGATGAACCAGGCTGGGAGTTTTAAAGGCCTCAGGAATCTTTTGCAGGTGTTTAGAGTTCATTTGTTGATTCAGATGATTAGGTGCAAAGTTCATTCAGAGATCTTTTTCATGATATGCTAATTTTGTGAGATATGAATTTTGGGTTTTGGTTTGGTTTCATGAGCTGTCTGCCAAAATCATCCATATAAAGACAATAAAAGACCTGAAATATTTCAGTTAGTGTGTAATGAATCTAAAATATATGAATGTTCAAGTTTTATCATTACATTATAGTAAATAATGAACTTTATCACAATCTGCTAATATTTTGAGGAGGACATGTACAACCACATGAGCAACTGGGCTAGTACAGCTAGCAAGCAAGAATTTAGAATGACATGATCAAGGAAGAGGTGAGTTGGAGCTACATCATTTGTAGATGAGATGGAGGAACTGGAGCTAAAACATCTCCAGTGGGTTAAGATAAAGAGCACAAAGTGCTGCACAGGGATTAAAAGCCATGAAAGGACAACAAATCAACCACTTTGGCTCCTGAGGGATGGTTTCAGCCATTCTTCGCATTAAAGGTATGAAAGAGGATTTTTCTCAGAAAATAAGTGTCCAACCTCCACTAGAACCAGAACCAGGCTCAGTTTGAGAGGCCAACTGCTGAGTCCGGGACAAGAACTGCAGATTTTAGTGGGATTATAATCCTGATGAACTGATGAACAGAGGATGTTTGGAGGTGGACTTTCTCACTTAAAAACATCCGTCCATCCATTCATTATCTGACACGCTTGTCCTGGGTGGGATCGCGAGGGGTGCCTATCTCCAGCAGTCAATGGGCGAGAGGCGGGGCCCATCCTGGACAGGTCGCCAGTCTATTGCAGGGTAACACAGAGACAAACAGGACAAACAACCATTCACACACACTCCTAAGGAGGATTTAGACAAGTCATTTAACCTAACAGTCATGTTTTTGGACTGTGGGAGGGAGCCTGAGTACCTGGAGAGAACCCACGCATGCTCAGGGAGAACATGATAACTCCATGCAGAAAGACCCCGGGCCGAGAATCCCTTAAAAACATGTTAAATCTATGTTTGCAACTCATAGATTAAATAAAGCCAAGCTGCCCTCTAGCCTGAAGCTGCAGAACATAACAGATAAACAACCAGAGCGTTGAAGCATCAAAGCAACTCGTGTTCCAATCTCCCTGTTTAAGCTTTTTTGATGCCTAAAACTTGTTGGTTGATAATGCACCTTTACCCTGTCGAAAGCCGTAAGAAAAACATTCTAAGTTTCCTCATTTACTTCAAAGACACACAGTCTGTAATCCTCAGCTTGACCAACCTTGATGCTCCTCTGGATCAAAAACTTCCTTTATCATCTCAAGCCTCCTAAACTCAGAGGGAGCTGGTTATCCTCTCTGGTCTGCAGCCGGAAAACAGTAGCTGAATCTAAACACCCCATTACTCTCAAATTCCATATGTGAATTAAAATAAGCACAGCTCCCAAACTATAAATTGGAAATACAATTGTTTGTATTCATATAACAGAAAGGCATTGAAGAATATTTTTCAGGTGGAATCACTATTTTAAATGTCACCATGTATGATTAATAGGTGATTAAAAAAAGAAAAATATTTAAATATATTTAAGGAAATCTCCCCCTGTCTTTCAGTTTCCTGAGGCCTTTACGGCGGGGAGGCGGAAGAGTGCCATGGCTCTGCGCTGGGAGGCAGGCGAGTTCACCAAGAACAACTGACCCGGAACAAGCTGCCGTTCTGCTGTTCCGCCACTAGAGGGCCACAGTGGATGTTTTTATTCAAGTTTAAATGCTTTTATTATTGTCATTTGTTTCATGTTGTGTCATAACCTAAACTCTGCTTTTGTGATGCTGTAAAAAAAAAAAAAAAACAATCAAAAAAAACAACGAGAGCGTTTAACAGTGGAACTGTTAAATGTTTAACTTTGCTTTTGTACAGTTTATGAAATGAGTTAGAAATGATCCAGGCTTCAGCTAAAGTTCCAGCTTTTCTTCTCCTAACAGTACAGATCTGCCATTGTGGCACGACTCCTGAATCAGCAGAGGACGACAGACGACTGAACGCGTTTCTTTACAGTTTGATGATCACAATAATTTCCTACTAATCTAGTTTACAGACGAAAGGGCTTAAAACAGTTTAGAGTCCTTAAAGACATTAGTTCTTTCTGTAGGGAAGACGGTGTAGGTACCAGATTGACTCGGGGGTCTGCGCCTTTTGATGACGTCACAATACATAATTGTTTTAACGTTTGCACAATTGCGCAAAACATTTTGATTGGTCTGGACAGCTTACTAAAGTAAT